GGCTTGCATAAAGCGCGATCGGATGCCATCAGGTGCTGGAGTTTCACGGGAAAGAAACGCATGGTATGCGATTTGGAATTTGCGTGTGCGCAACATCAGGACACAGGACATGGGTGTGTCTGTTTTTGAGAGTACCCTTTTTGGGTTGGTTTAATGCGAAACCAAAAGGACACCAACCATTTTGGGTGGTCCCTATTTTGAGACAAGCCCACATATGATTTGCGGCTTGCTTAAGTGTTTGTAAAAGGAAGAGTCTTGGATTTGACAATTTCTGCAACGTGCGCATTGAGAAGCAAAGGTTAGGTCAATCTGCTCCTGCGCAGCCAACATGTTGGAACTGAAACTTACAGGGCCAACACAGAACGTATGTAGGACATGTTTGAGATGTTGGCATCCTACAGCCCACAAGCATGAACACCACGCAGTTTTTATTGCCCTGCTTGGTCCCCCATGTCTCCCAGCCCAAAACAGTTTTGTTTGAATCTGATTCGCTTTAAAGCTGGTGGATGAAGAACCAGACATTTTCATTGAGTTTTTTGGGTTGGGGCATTTGGGGGACCCAGCATATCCAGACAAGAACCTAGCAGCCTAGCCCATTTTGCTTCTCAGTTCTTGGTCTCTTGGAGCTTCAATGCGTGTTCAAAAGCGTCAAATCTTTAACAAATGCCCTAACCATTGGACCCCGAAAACTCGTTCAAGTGTCAAATGCTGGGGGTTTTGGGCACCATTCAGTAATCCGGGGGCGGGTGGGGTGGGGTGGGGGACAACATAGTGTTATAGGCGTAGTAGGAAGTAGGTATGTAGTTGTATTGATATAGTTATATATATATATATGTTGGGTATACAAGTAGATTTAGACAAACATGTTCATTTGAGTTAGAAGCGGCACCAGCTGGGGATCGGCGTATTTCTACACGTCATCTCTTTCGCCGGTTTAAGGCGAGTTCCCCTTTGGAGGCCACGTGTTTCTCAACCCAGGCATCGGCCCATTTCTCAAAATGGGCTTTGAGTTTATTTTGGGACCCTCCTTCCCAAAACGGGTTCCCGAACTCCATTCTGCCAAGCACGGAAGAGGCGTGGGCAGCTGTGTGTTGCCGTGCGCGGCTCGACTCGGTTCCGAGGAGGAGGCCTTCGGGTCGCATTTCGCGGACGGCGCGGGCCCCAGTGGCCTCCAAGGTCTCCCGGGGCCCCCTGGGATGTCCACGAGGAAGTTGAGTTCGACCCCTTGGATGGGAAGCTATGCCCTCGGACCCTCCAACCCTGAGATGTCTCGGATGTAGGACCGTCCTAGGCGGGGGCCCTCGACCACATAACTTCTGGACTCTTGATATTCCGGGGCTTGGGCAAAGAGTTCACTGGCGCTCAAGATGCCGGCAGAAAGGTCATGATTCTACACCATGCATAGGGTTTCATCCATCCCAGCCGGTGCCGGATTTTGTCCAGAGCTCACATGGGGATACAACGAGGCCGATGTTTCACACGCAACCTTCCCAGGTGCAAGGCTCATCGTCACCAGAGCCTGAGCCGATGGAAGGTGGGTTTAGGGGCCATCCTGTGGAGACAGCCTGGTTCAGGGCCTGGCTGTTGCTGTGTCTCTAACCCTGCCCTCCTGGAAAGCGCGGGCCTTGTTTGCAGCAGGCCCGCGCATCGTCGACGAGACGCCACGAAGCTTGGGTGGCTCCTACCGGGGAATGACATGCACTGGTGCGAGCCCCCGCCAATGTAAAGGGATTCCTTTAATCCGTTGGCTTCCTGCCACGCTCAAAACCAAAGCCCACGAGGCCTAGCTTCGGGCGCGTTCAGGCTACAAAGTGCCGCCGTCAGCCCAGGACATTGCCATGTCTCACCAGATCCGTCAGAGCGCTCTGACGACAAAGGGATGTCCATGGGCATCTTATGGGGAGCGCCTCTTTCAACGTCTGCCTAGTGACTCATGCCACCTTTTTGGCTGTCTTTAAAGGGAAGCCGAGACTCAGGCAGGTCTTCTTTTGAGGCAACCTGCCTTTGTACAAGGTGACTGCTCAGAATCAACGAGGGTTTTGCTGGCTTCTGTGAAGGCATGGCGTGCTGTGGTCAAAACCCCCTCTTCTTGGGCTTGGTAGGGCTGGTCACAACGAGTCAACGCTGTGTTTTACTAGGGTTTAACACAAGCGACGAAATCCTGCGCTGTGTTTTTCCCAGTATTCATAGGGTTTCATCCATCCCAACTGCAGGATTCCTTGTTCATCCACAGCATGGCCATCAGTCTTAATGAACCCCCCTTCCTAAATCATGTCCAGAGGGTCCCCAATTCAATTTCACCCCTACTTAACGTAGGATACGGGATGGAGATCCTTGAAGGAACCAGTTTGACGAGGCAGGTAGCTCGGCCGCGTTGGTTCTATTTCATCGAGTTGGCCAGTCGCTCTTGTGAGAGAGGGGAATGAGCTCCAGCGGTGTAGCTCCATAATAAGCTTGAACGGATCCGCAGCCTCTCTCAAGAGCATCACAAGCCAAAACGCGCGCCAAGTGAGACAGCCGCATTTGGTTCCTTCTCCAGCCCGGCTGAAACAAGCGAGAGTCTCCCAAAAAACGAGCTGAAGCTGCCAAGCTGTCATGGCAACACAGAACAAACACATCTGCCTGAAGTGGGCAGACGCGAAATTCGAGGCGCAGCCGCTTGACTGCCGCGCATCCCGTCGTTCTTAGATGATTCACAGCCCCTTTGCTTCTTTTTTCCTTTTTCTGTTTTTTTTTTTTCCGACAGCCGTCCCGTCCAAATGCTAGTCCCAGCTTTCATATTTCCGGCTCTCAGTTGGAAGCGGGCGGATGAGAGTTTCGACGGTGTGCCACGGTTTTTGTTCGATGCACGGTGCTCCGAGCCGTCAGGAGTGACAGTCTGAGTCCTGTGGAAAGGACTTGAACTTCTGTTCTGAAGAAGCTTGAGTCAAAGAGCATGCGCTCTAACAAGGGTGGGGGCTCATAGTGAATGCCCCCTTCATTTTGCTTGCCGTTTGAGTCATGTTCTTTTCGCGGCTCATGGTCATCCGTGGCTACCTCCCGACTTGACATAATTTCTCAAAGGCTTGGGGGCCTCTTGGAAGGCCCCCCAATTTTTGAGCCATTCGACGCCAAACGTCTTCTGATGACGATGCTGGCATTTTGCCTGTGAAGCATCGTCGCAAACCCGGTTCTGCAATGTCGTCTCTTTTTCCGCCCAGGAAATTGGTCGGCGTGTTTTGCTGTTTAGCCCTTGAATCATATGGGTGTGGCTCAAGTTTAAAGAGCTAGGGTTGCGCAGGTTTTGGTCTTTTGTTCCATTTGCTGAGGAACATGAGCAAATGGCGGCAGCACTTTCGTCGGGCTTTGGTAGAGCACCCAACGCGGTGGTATTTTTACTTGTTTATTATATTTTATTTATTGAAATCGCTACACGCTCGACTGGCGTCGGCGGATTTGTTTTGTTTAAGCAACAAGCCGTTTTTTTTCTCCGCCGGGGATCTGAGGGGCCTTGGGTTTCGGAGGCCATGGAGGAGGTGGCCGCGTCCCGTCCCTCGGCCACGGCAGGCGAAATGGGATGGGAGTGAGCGGGGGGGTGGGGGAGGGTGGGGGGGGGGAGTGGGGGGGGGAAGGGCCTTTTTGTGGGAAGCCCCGAAGATGTAAGTTTGTTTGTTTCACAGCCAGAGGTCTCTTTTTGGAGCTTGTGAAGTTTATTTATTGGCTGGCCTGAAGCTTGGGCGCTCACACAGGTTCCCGGAGTGGTTTGGGCATATCAGCATGAATGTTAACTGGACATCAGACACGACATGTTATGGATCGTTCAAGTTAGAGCCGCGTCATCATGACGGTTCCCCTTCTGATGGTTTGGAACAGTGTAGCGAAACACGCACCAACTTGGACGGGGCTTGCCTGCGGCTGGGGGGGGCAACACTGACGATTAATGTATCAATGAATTGTGGGTACTGTAAAGGTTGGTCAGCCTGCAAGCGATGAGAAGGGCTTACCATGATAAGACGTGCTTTTGGTGGCAAGTGTGACGTGGTAGGACTGATATGATTATTTCATAGATGCTGACCCTAAGGGAATTCGCACTGTCGGTGAGGGAACGATCCCTCCCGACCATCACTCAGGGGGATCCCAAAAGGTTCGTTCTCAAAACCCCTCGAACTCCGTGAGAACCAGCAAGCATTCCAGGTGTTGGTGCAGATCCCGCCCTCGGCTCGGAGAGATGGTCCTTGCCCACTCAAAGTGGAACCTACGCTTTGATGGCGAAGCCACACGCTGAACAATGTTGCAAGATGGTAGTTGGAAGCGGGAGATGGGGGTAATTATCCCAATTTCCCAAAGGGAGGTGTGAGGACGTGGTAGGGTTGGGCTCAACTATAAGTGGTTTGCAGTTTGCGGGGATCTCGGCATCACTTTTGGGACAAGGAAAGCCTTTATCAACCACCATTCAGACATTCATGTTGAGGGTCCTGGCCTCCATAGAAAGGAGTCCAGACAACAAAGGGCCTTTCGGGGGGTATTAGTCCAGGGTCGACATGACAGCTACGGCGGAAAGCATGGCAGTTGGCTTTGTGAACATTTTCGTTGTCGATTGGCTCCTCAACTTCCTCAGGGGCGCCCCCACACGAGCTTCGGTTTTTTTCATTGTCTTTGGCTTTACACCAGCCCAAAAAACGGTATCCTCCAAAAACCAACACACACCCACACTGACTTCCCCCAAAAGGCGACGTACCACAGGCGAGCCGCCCCACCACCTTTCCGTCCATTTGCCTTCAGCTGTTTCATGCTGCGTGGTTTCATAGGCCATGAACCTTTCTAACTATGGGGTTTCATGACGGTACAGCCATGAGATGTGTCCAAATCGGGCAAACGATATCGTTTCCTTGCGGTTTCCCGTTTAAGCCACGCAGCAAACGAGCATGATGCACATGTGTAGCCATGTGAAGGGGAAGGATTGAACCTGGGATGCCACCCGTCTTCCCGCAAGAGCCGATGGGTTAATCCAGGCCCTGGCAATGGCTGCCATCATGGAGAGCCAGGCTGGCGGTTTGCGCGGGGCAGTCTGGCCTGTGGATGGCGTTTTTCACCGCGCGAGCGGCGAGAGGTGGAGGAGATGCGGAAGATGTTGAGCAAGTTCAAGGTGGCCAACCAAACGCCTCCTGAGGACACAGGCGCTGGGTTCTGGGAAAGTGATGTGTCCTGATTGGAGGGACAGCTTTGCGTGGGTGCTTTGATGCAGGACGTAAGAACATCCAAAAAGCCTTATAGCCAGGTAGAAGCACGGCACACATGGGCTTTGTGTGGCCTTTCTTTGGAACTTGTTCCCTCACGGAAAGGCGGTTCCCCTGGCTTCGCGATCTCGGGACTCGGTGAGGCGTCCCGGGGCACGTGGACGTGCTGATCTTTGGGCCCAGCGGTAGGCCGGGCCCAATTCAACGGGTGGGGTGTGGCGGGTGGATGTTTCTTGCCATCTTTTTCGAGACGACCTGAATTTTTAGGCTACCCTTGGGAGCTGGGCGGGGTGACGTTTTTCGAGACCACCTGAATTTTTAGGCGACCCTGTTTCGAGCCGCATTTCTGGGCGGCTTCCCCTCTCACCCACGTCCATTGAGAATAAGTTGGGGCTTTCAATGGTAGGTTCCATGTTAGGCGGAGGGGCACCTCATGTCTAAGACCTCTGGTTTTTGCCCTGGGGCTTCGGGTTCCACCCCCCCCAACCGGACTCCTCTTGGAATGTTGCGAAGGTGGCAAAAGGACCCTGAGAGGGTTGGATGGGCAAGGGGACATCTAAGGGCTCAACCACTTGGGATGGGCACCTCCAAAACTATTTGATGTTTTAGGGTCGACGAAATATGATACCCCAGACGGGGGCAGGATCCACAACCCCCGCCTATTGCTGGAGGTTCATTCGTCCAGAGTCGAGATCATGTCAACTTCATATGCATCCCCTTCTTTTGCCGATGAAATCAAGTGGCCGATTCAGTTGCTGCTGCTCAGCATTGATGCTCGGCGCGCGCAGTGGGAAGAGTAGCCTCATCCGCACCTTCTACATGGCCCTGCACAAGACCCAGCAGGCAACGAGCATTTGCTTGTTGACCCAGGATTGGTCAACCCCACATAAGCTCTTGCTGGTAGTTGATGACAAGACCGGCAGCAAGTGCGGCCGTGCTTTGGCTGCCAGGTGCCTCCGGACTTTGCAGACAGGCATGCCCTTAGCATGTGAGCAGCCAAAAATAGGGGGAAGTCAAGGAGCAACATCCCAGCCAGATCTGGTTCGGCACGAAAAGCCCTCCTTTGGACGATTTTTGGTCTTTGGTTTGTTGGCCTTTTGTGCCAGGTCCCGATGACTCATGTGCCCAGGATAATTGTCAAGGACACCCAAATGAACGAGGGCACCTTGAAGTACGTCTCCGCCGCGGTGACCTCAGAGATGCCCTAAAGTCGATTCGACCAACTCCGATTCCGCAGGCCAGGACTCAGACACCGGGAGTGCAATTTGGGGTAAAACCAGGATTGCAAAATTCGGACATCGATGACACTGAAGACTGGCAAACTGCAGAGGGCACTTGTTTGATCCAAGATCTGTTTCAAACTAGGGGGCGCAGTTTTGGAATTTGGCTCCCCTGGTTTTCGAATCCGTGCGCGACCCTAAAGTTGTGGGAGCTGTGAGGTCATTAAGCCGGCCAAGCTGGACCACCGTGGCAACATCATGTCGTCTGGGACTTTGCACGAGCTTGCGAGACCATAACCGGATGCGGATGATCAGAGTCTTATTACATGCAGACAGACGTGTTTTTTGGGGTGTCTCTACAGGTCGCTGTCTTCTTTTTGGCGCGCAAGTTGAATAGAATTCCAACTGCTTCATCCGATTTTCCTCATTCGTCTTTGACACACGCACCACTTTGATGAGCCCGGCACTTTGACCCTCGAGGTCCTCCATCCTGTGTCATGACACTCGTGGCCAGATCTGGATGGATGCCGGGGCCTGAGGCAAACCATGGTAAGCCCATGCCAGAGGTCACATCATGGGTCTGCCTATTCTATGGCGAGCTGACCGATCCGAGGAAACCAAGCCAAACATCACCCATGTAGGTTCTTTACGCTTGGGGATCCGGTTCTTATTTACAGGTTTTTAATTATGGTAGAATTTGCAGAGTGGATGCTTGGATTGGTGGTTTTGGGTTTGAACTGAAACCTGCCGACCTCCAAACCACTCATCCAAGCCACCCAAGTAGAGAGAAGCTGACAACTCACTCAGGTGACAACTGGTGAACACATGAAGTTCAGTCAGTGGGTTCCCCTGCGCTGGGCGGAACCTAGTTACCCATTTTGACGTGGGGTAAGTGGGGGAGCTTTGTGCTTAAAACATGCCCGACGGAGCAAGTTGAGCACCAGGTTAGTGTTTTTCTTGGTTTGGGCACTGCACAATGTCACAAGGCATTTTTTTGGGGCACGGGGTGCTTCACTGAATTTTCATGTATGGGACCCCCATGGCTCAATCATGTCCTTTTGACTTTAGGGTATTTTTAAAGCCAGACTCAGAGGCAACCACTAGTTTGATGATACTGGAAAAGGCGCATTGATTCCAAGGAGCCCGTGTTGAGTGTAAGGCGCATCTTTGCACCGGCCCACATGTCGGTGCCGCCGCACTGTGTGTGCCTGTGCTCTCGCGGCTGAGGAGCGTGAGCAGAAACAGATCGGCTTCATGATGGCGGGAAGCCCTGGGGAAGGCTGCAAGGATATTTTCCTGGCTTTGGATCACTTTCCTCGGATTCTCTTTCAGGTGTCATATTCTCTATGTTTGTTTTTTTAAGGGAATGTGTGCGTGTGTGACCTGCTCCCAGGATTGCTATGGGACTCATCACATACTGAGCCTTTGGGCCTTGTAATTGGAAGCCAAAGCGAAAACCCAGTATGCTAAGGTTTCTTTGGACACTTCCAACTGGAGTCAGTTTGTTGCGATTTGTTGTTTGGTCCGCTTGTGGTACGTGGGAAAGTAGGTGTAGGCAGGATGGAAGATCAGTAGAGCGGTTGGTTGCTGGGTAGGTTGGCAGGACAGCAGTACACGTTGCTTGTTAGGCTGTTTGGTTGCTTGGTCTGTTGGTTGGCGCGATGGTGCCAATGTTCCCTCGCCCGTACCAGTTCTGGAAGCAAGGAGTTTCATCATGAGAGCCTTCCGGTTTGTAAATGTAGCATTGCAGCATGACAGCATTTGGCGTGGCAAGACTTCTCATTTCGCTGAATTGCTTCTGATGCTCCGCGGACGGGAGGTTTGAATCTTTTCGGGGTGGGTGCCACCCCATACAGCCCTTGGTGTCAGTCAGCTGGGCCGAGTTTTCTTTAGAGGGACCGTGAGCGGGAGCGCGTTTGGTCTACAAATACAAGCTTAAAGAACGCGAGCAGGAATACACGGGCCGAAGGAATGAACGGAATATGTCCAAGTCCTCCAGACAATCACTACAATGAAAGCACAAACACATCAGAGCTCCTTCTGCTATTAAATAGGCTAGTGGGGTTTGCCATGTTGTTTTGTTTGATTTTCGCTAGGGTTTCGCAGCAACAACACCAGCAAATGAAACAACTTGGCAGACCCCAACACAACAGACGGATCTCAGGGCAGAGATACTTGTTGGTGTTTTCATGGCTTCCACAAGGCTCAAGCCAAGAAGACTGCGCGCTCAGGGTCCCCTGAGGCCCCTGTTCTATTTCTTGGATGGTGTCAGATGACTGTCTCCCAGTACAACCACTGGGCCAATGGCGTTATTCCGGCCAGACAGTTGCTAGCGAGCAACAATCAACACCTGAGTAGTTGAAGGTTCGTAGGCGACAGTCCCCTTGCCATGCATAACATGGTGTCGGGTAGACTCCTTCAACGGGTTGCTGCAGGGGCAAGGAACCCAAAGAACCACCATGCGAGTTGCGGGTTGACAACATGTCAGCAAGTTCGAAGCAAACATCTGACCCATTCTCATTGATCAGATCAACGCTTTGAGCTTGCACATCTTGCACCAAAGGACGGTCATGTGTTCGCATCCCAAAGGAACCCGTTTGTTGCCCATTGAAGGGGGGTCCGTCTAGCATCAACCAAATCAAAATCAGCGCCCTTTGTCCCCATGAAAATCTCGGTTTCCTGCCGCGGTTTGCAAGGACGGAAATGTCAGGGACGACGCGATGGTCCAGCAGCGGAACTACAGGCGGGGGGTGCTTTGTGCTTGCTACTTGGGCGTGTCAGCGCGCGTGCGCGCGCGAGTGTGTGTGTGTGTGTGTGTGTGTGTGTGTGTGTGTGTGTGTGTGCGGGTGTGTGTGTGTGTGTGGGTGTGCACAAAGGGTTTTTTTTCCCTTGGTAGGCTTAAATTGACAGCTTAGTGCCGTTGTGTCCTCCCTTTTCAGGTTGACTAAAGGGACATACAAAGCTTGGTATATTCCTGAAGCAAAGGCAAATGGACGGGGAACGATGTTTTGCTTGCTTGGGCTAATCCGGTGTGGCTGTGTTTTTTCTCGAGGCGGGGTACTCTATGCCGGGTGGGTTTACAGGGACACCAAAAGGAAACCGAAGCCATAGTTGGACTCCCAACTATGTTGACGCATACTCACTTGGCAGCTCTTTGCTGTGATATCCCTAAAAGGTTTTAACCTTTTGGAGTGGACGTTTTTCTTGTATTGTTTTGGACAATTATAATGCCCCCGCTTGCTAGCGACGAGTTTATTTATTTTCACAGGAGTCAAAGACGGTGTCTTTTGATGCTGTTCTTCCGATGGTCTTTGTCGACCCCTTATCAATAATATACCGGGACGAGGGGACAACTTTTTGTGGGGATTCCTTTCTTTTAAAGAAACCCCCTGTTCAATAGCTAGCGGCGGGGGGGGGGGGGGATGAATCAGGGGTCGACATGAATTCAGGAGCAGTTCCTTTCCACGTGCCTCTGCCGTGCATGTCAGATATGCCCGGCTCCTCTGGGAGTTCTGGAAGAAAGACACCGAGCTTTTCCCTCCAGAGGCGGAAGATGCACGGGAGGATCTGTTCAGCCAGCTTGCGTTGAGCGTTTATTAGAAAGGCAGACTCCAACCAACCAGGTTAACCATTTTCAGGGACCACGATTTTGAGAATTCCAAAGACGGCAAATGCAGGGCTTCCTGAATTTCTCAAAAGAGTCACAGAGAAACACATCACACTAATCCTGGGGCATGAAATACTCTGCCTGTGGCTCGTTTGCATGGGGCTGTTTGCGGTTTGCTGAAGCATTTCCTCCTGTCAGATCTTCGCAAAGAACAAGGGCCTGCACACGCAGCCTCATGCCGTGGAGCGCACAGGAGGGTATGAGGATGTCAGGCTATGGACCCGAGGCTTTCAAAGGATGCGCAATATTGTGTAACTCAAGGAAGCCACATTGACATGTTAGTGACTGCATGGGTTCTCGTTTTTGGGGCAGAGCCACTTCTCTCATCTTCTCTCTCTCTCTCTTTCTCTGGCTCTCTCTCTCGCTCTCACTTTCTTTCTCTCTTTCACTCGGTCTCGCTCGTTCTCAATCTCATTATATTTTCTCTTTTCTCTTTATCTTTCTCTTCCTTTCCTTCCTTCCTTCCTTTCCTTCCTTTCTTTCTTCTCTTTTTTTTCTTTCTTTCTTTCTTTCTTTCTTTCTTGCTTCCTTCCTTCCTTCCTTTCTTTCTTTTTTTCTTTCTTTCTTTTTTTTTTTTTTTCTCTCCCTCTCTGTCTTCTCCCTCTCTCTCTCTCTCTATCCCTCTCTTTCTCCCTTTTTCTCTCACTCTTTTTTCCTCTCTTTTTCTGTCTCTCTCTCTCTCTCTGTCTCTCTCTCTCTCTCTCTCTCTCTCTCTCTCTCTTGTTCTCTCCATCTTTGTCTTTCTCTCTCTCTCTCTCTCTCTTTCCGCCTCTTTCGCTCTCACCCTCTCTCTGTGTCTCTGCTTGTGTGTTTCTCTCCCTCTCTCTCTCTCTCTCTCTTTCTCGCTCTTGGTTTTGTGCCTCTCTCTCTCTCTCTCTCTCTCTGTCTCGCTCTCTCACCCTTGCTTTTTTGTTGTTTTCTTTCTCTCTCTCGTTCTCTCGCTCTTGCTTCTTCTCTCTCTCAGTCTCTGTCTTTGTCCCCGTCTCTTTGTTTTTGCTCTCTCTGTCTCTCTCCTCTGACAACACAGACTCCTCTTGTCTCCCTCTGATTCACTTGCCCTTTCTTGTTCTTTCTTTTTCTGATTCTCGTTTTATTTTTCGGCGGTTGATGCGAAATATTTGAACGAGTGGCAAGCCGATTCAACACGATCTTTGGATCAATGCGACGGCATTTCCTGTCCTTTGTGTTTGTATCCTTTTGCTTCCCTTCTGAAGCATCAGCGAAAAGGGCTCCGCCATTTTGAGAAACTCCCATGTCGACAGCAATTCCAGCAACGGCCACCGCGACCCGTGTCAGAGTTCGCCCAAGGTGCTCTTTGTGTTTGACGGTTCCATGGAGGAGATTCCAGATGGCGCAGAGGCCAGTGTGGGACGGGGCGAGCGGCAGCAGTGAGAGTGTTCACTCGAGGTCACGTCTCCTGGCGGGCATTTCTGTGTGTGTGTGTCGTTTTTTCAGGGTGCTCTTTGTGGTGCTGCTTAACGGGAAATCTTAGGGGCACACTCATTTTGCGGGTTCTTGCAATTTGAGACAAACCATTTCTGCGGGTGTCGTAATGTCAGCTGTAAGAAACGTATAGTGGGCATTGTAGGGAAGCCAGGATTCTTTTGGAGCACCCCCGCTGGACTCTACGATCCTGGTGCTTGGGCTGTCCTTCCAAGGGCGGAGTAGTCCAGCGATGCAAAGCGCACCAAACCATAATATTATGTGGAGTAAAGCTAGCAGGACTTGTTGTGGTCTCCACGGGACGGTGTGAGCAGTTCGGCGTTACCTGAGGGGATCTGAACCGCCCTGGCCCGGCTAGGTGTTATCCTGTCCGAGAACATTGCGTTAGTACAGATAAAACAGCGCCATAACCATGACACATTGTTTTGGATGTACCAGTGTACCCCTGTAAGCTGTGCTCCAACGAATTCTCGGAATCACCGCCAGTCAGCTGCGACTCCGGCAGCTCGCCTTTCAGGAGACCCGCTTTTACCGGGAGATCATCCAGATGTGCCGAACGAAGGGGTATGCCAATCCTCAGGTCAGGGTCCGGCTCGAGGGACAAGCCATGTGAGAGGGCCTGTTGAAGTGGGCTTTCTCTTTTGAAACCAGGCCCAAAATGCCTTGGGATCCCCACTTGAAACACACCTGAGCAGGTTGAGTGGGCTTGGCCCAGTCTTGGGTTGTGATCTTGGCGCAATCGCGGATTTCTGCAGCCGTTCTGGCTAAAAAGACCCCGGCCGATGCAGAAAAACTGTCACTTGGTAGTCAGCATCGGATCCGACCAAAGCCAAGGAAGCCACGAAACTTAGATTCCCTTTCAACTTTTTGCCTTGGGTTCTGTCATTTTCCCTTTCGCCAGCCAAACTCATTTTTTTCAGGGGATCCAAGTCTGACCCAAACAGGATGCTGCTGAAGATGCCCTCCCACCCACTGACATGGTAGATGCCAGACAAGGGTTCCTTGGTGTTTCAACAGGTGCCATGGCTTCCAGCAGATCTGACACACCTCTTTGTACACGCTTCCAGTTTGACAAGCTCGAATAGTGTTGTTGGGCCCTTGATAGGCGCGCGCTTTTTTGGAGGGTACCCGGGTTACCCGCCTTTTTTGGATTTCAAGGGAGGCAAGCCACATGAAAGAGACTCATTGCCAGGGCCCAGGTTTGAGGTTTCCACGTTTGCTGTATCCAGCCGAAGCGCCGAGAGATGGGTGGGGGGCCCAGGAGCCCATTGCTTTTCTGTGAGGCGACAGGTACCCTCCAGCTGGTTTCGATGGAAACCAACAGAGCAGCCGCAAGACTTTGACACATCCCCATGCTTTGTGTATTGCAAGGGGGTAAGCGGGAGGGCATTGAGTCCATTTCAGAGGTCGATCCCAGCCTTCGAGGCGCTAAGGAAGTGGAGGATGCCTCCCTCGCGGCCATCCTGGGGCCTCTGGGCCGCGAGGCCTTCGATCTGTGGGGTTGGTTATCAGGGCGCAGGGCCCAGCTTGGTCCCGCCCTTGGTTTGGGACGGGAGATCTGCGGAATTCTAGGCACCGACGGAAGACGAATCCATGTTGTCTTCAAGGAAACCACCAGTTGGATGGCTTGCAGCACCCCACATTCCCAGGATGTTAGCACCCCACCAGTTGGATAGTTACCCTTATGTTGGTCAGGATGCCACTTGGTTTCTCATTCCGAGCCAGTTGGAATGTGAGAATGCCAGTTGGATGGTTGATTTTCAATTCTCGTTCGCATCTCGCGCTCCCCGCGCCGAGCGCACGTCTTTTGGCAGGCGGCCCTGGCCTCCGAGCGCATGCGCGAGGTGGAGGAGTGGATTTGGGCGGCGGAGGCGCGCCACCCGTTGGCGCCGTTGGGTGGATCCCGGAGACGGGGGGGCGGGGAAATTGTGAGGCTGGGGGGGGTTGGGTATGTGATTTGCCTTAATTGGCGATGTTGGTTGATTTTCTAATTTGGATTAGTTTGGTCATGGCTGGGTGTTTTTGCTGTTGGGAATTATGGAATATTGTTGGCCTATTTTGCTAGTTTGGGAATAGCTATATTATTAGTTGGTATATCTGTTGGCGCTTTTTAGGGGGGGCCAAAAACTTCCCATTCAAAACCAGGGCGCCCGCACTCAAATCTTCCTATGTCCTTTCAGGGAGTCACTTGAGTTGGCTGGGTTTTGGTAGGCTGGTTCGTTGGATGGATGGCTGGTGAGCTGGCTGGTTTGATTGTGGCGTTTCGTCGCTCTATCTTGTTGATTGGCGCTTGGTCTGTGTACAAGGCGACCTCCCCCGTCTGACGTAGAGACCCCAACATTGGGATCGTTAGGGGTGGCTAGGGAAGTAGGCGATCCTGAAACACATAATTGATTGAATAATTCTTTGAAGCATGCCTCCAGCAGCTTCAGCCTTCGACAAGAAGGCAGCAAAAGAGCAAGTATTGTCCAAGAAAAGTCTGGGATTCTGCCTCTTGGGGAAATTTGCTGGCCGTGCCAAGTAAAGGAACCAACAGCAGGACACGCGAGAACCCAGAAAATACGAGCACCCGCCGTGAGAAAGCTGCGGTATTTGAAGTCATGTTGTACCTGTTTTCTTTGACCGTCTTTTGTTGGTTTCCTTGACCCGAGGAATCAACTATGCTCCGAGCCTCAGAAGGGTGACCAAACCACCAGATCAGGTCATTCGTTTCGTGCCCTTTGGTTTCGAGCTGGTTCACAGGGGCCAAGGTTCTCAGAAAGTCCGGTTTCTTCTTCCCAAACCTCAATCCCAAACCCCAAACTTTACTCCTGGACCCTTCTAAATACCACCAAGGGACCCCACCCCCCCACCCCCCACTCCCTCCCCCATCCCCCACAGGCCGAAGGCCTGAGCGCGGAGGAGATCGCGCCCGCCAGGCGATGGATGGCCCATGGGTTTTCTAAAAATTGCCCAGTGGGCGACGTCTCAAAATGGGTCCGGGTCAAAATGGAACCAGGGGACCACAGGTTTTGGTCATTGTTTCCATTTACCAGGGTGCAAATGAGGTTTGTTTCTTCCACGCCTCAAAATCCACTGGGGTTCTTCAGGTGGTTTCTATTCAAAGCCCACAGCAAAAAAAAGGGAGGGTACCTGACAACGAAGAGACACGACCCCTTGGGAGGCCACTTTGACAAACTTGAGGTTCGGTCAAAACGCGCCAGTGGATTACCAGGGAGCTATCAGGCTAAGGCAAAGGGACATAGCTCTTGCATTACATACCAAACATAAAACGTGCAGAGAAGCCAACCGCGAAGAAAATCTAAACATGAAGCGCCGAAGTGGCAGCCTTTGCGACGAGTAGTTGAGGGACTGGAAGTCTTAGCAGCGACGGGCCATGAAAGGCATCAGGAAAGTTACTTCCTGCATAAGGTTTGCGACCAACGGTCGATGGGCCCAACGGTCCACCCCCTCTGTCTGTGAGATAGACCATATCCAGACCTTTTGGATTCCTTCCAAGACGGGCCATCACCTCATCGAAACCATGGAATTTTACTTGGGGTGCGCTCCGCCTACTTGCTTCCCGTTCCCAGCTGGAAGTGTTTTCGATCCTCACCCAATGGACGCTATGCTTGTTTGTTGATCTCACTTGTGGGCGCAGCGCGAACTTGCAAGTTGATACCCGCATTGGTGCCCCCCTGCCAGATTCTGCAGCTGATTTTTCCCTTGCTTGCCCTCACTCAGCAACACCCCAAGACCAAAACCATGAGCAACTGACAAAGTGATATTGGTGGACGAGCAAACTTCCCCAACCCTGCCCCATTGTCCCATGTGTTCTTAGGGAATCCAGTAGTTTTCCCCAAGGCTCGTGAGGAACGACGAATTTAATGGGTAAACTGTCACAAATCTTTGGTGGGCACAAATCCCCACGGAAATGACGTCCAAAATGGCCCTTGGAAACCAAAAGAGAACCAGTTTCGAGAGAACCATTGGGAGACAAACAAACCCATAGGTCCCCTGTCTCCTGTCTCTTTAACTCCAGGCAGCGGCTGGCGGCGCTTGCAGGGGGGCCTGAGGGAGGGATGCGTTTTGGGGAACCGGCAGGCGGTTTCTTTCTCGGAATCTGGGACCTTCTTTTGGTATGAAGGCAAACCACAAGGAAGCAAGCACCCTCAATGTCCCTGACTATAGAAAAATGCCTACATGGCCGGGCTTGCTTTGTTTTTGCCAGGCGCCGTGGGTTTAAACATCCCGCTCTCAAACTGGGGGAGGGATGTGAGCAGGGATCGCGTTGGGTTTTAGCATCGCCTTTCGGGCCAGTTACACTCGGCAGCTGCCAGGAGGGGCACGTGCGGCAATGTGTCCCGACACCAGCAACACCACACCGTTGGATAAGGGAACGAAGCTTCACTTTGTGTGTGTTTCCTTATTTGTCCGTGTTTGTCTGTCTTTGCGAGCCTGTTTTTGTCTGTCTTCTTGCCTGCCTGCCCTCCTGCCCTCCTGCCTGTCAGCCTGGATCTGTCCGCGTCTGTCTCTGTGCTATGTCTCTCTGTGACTGTGTCTTTGTCTGTCTGTGTCTCTGACCGTGTCCGTATCGGTCTGTGTCTTTGCCCTGTCTTCTGTTCTGTCTTGTGGCGTGTCTTCTGCCCTGTCTCTTCTGTCCTGTCTTTAGTCCTGTCTTCAGTCCTGTCTTTTGTCCTGTCTTTCTGTGCGCGGCTGTGTCTTCGTGTGTCTCTGTTGTGTGTCTTTGTGTTTCTGTGTGTCTCTTTGTGTCTCCGTGTCTCTGTCTCTCTATGTCTCTGTGTCTCTGTGTCTGTTTTGTTTGTTGGGTTTCGGCCAACCCTTATTCGGTAGGTTGCTCTTTGTTTGTCTGTCTGTCCGTCTGTCTGTCTGTGTGTGTCTGTCTGTCTGTGTTTGTCTGTCTCTGTCTGTCTCTGTCTGTCTGTGGCTGTCTGTGTCTGTCTGTGTCTGTCTGTGTCTGTCTGTCTGTGTCTGTCTATGTCTGTCTGTTTCTGTCTGTGTCTGTCTATCTGTGTCTGTCTATGTCTGTTTGTCTGTGTCTGTTTGTCGTCTGTCTGTGTCTGTCTGTCTGTGTCTGTCTGTGTCTGTCTGTGTCTGTCTGTGTCTGTCTGTGTCTGTCTGTGTCTGTCTGTCTGTCTGTCTGTCTGTGTGTCTGTCTGTGTCTGTCTGTGTCTGTCTGTGTCTGTCTGTCTGTCTGTGTCTGTCTGTGTCTGTCTGTGTCTGTCTGTGTCTGTCTCTGTCTGTCTGTGTCTGTCTGTGTCTGTCTGTGTCTGTCCGTGTCTGTCTGTGTCTGTCTGTCTCTGTCTGTGTCTGTCTGTGTCTGTCTCTGGCTGTCTCTGTCTGTCTCTGTCTGTCTGTCTGTCTCTGTTTGTCTCTGTCTGTCTCTGTCTGTCTGTGTTCTGTGTCTGTCTGTCTGTCTGTCTGTGTCTGTCTGTGTCTGTCTCTGTCTGTCTGTGTGTGTCTGTCTGTCTGTGTTTGTCTGTCTCTGTCTGTCTCTGTCTGTCTGTGGCTGTCTGTGTCTGTCTGTGTCTGTCTGTGTCTGTCTGTCTGTGTCTGTCTATGTCTGTCTGTGTCTGTCTGTGTCTGTGTCTGTCTGTGTCTGTCTGGTCTATCTGTGTCTGTCTGTGTCTGTCTGTGTCTGTCTGTGTCTGTCTGTGTCTGTCTGTGTCTGTCTGTGTCTGTCTGTGTCTGTCTGTGTCTGTCTGTGTCCGTCTGTGTCTGTCTGTGTCTGTGTGTGTTTGTCCGTTTGCCTGTCTGTTTGTTTGTTTGCTAGCTTGTTTGTTTGTTTGCTTGCTTGTTTGCTTGCCTGCTTGCTTGCTTGTTTTTTCCTTTCTTTCTTTCTTTCTTTCTTTGTGTCTGTCACGCCGCCCAGCTTGCCAGTCGAGGCCCGCGACAACCGCAGCATCAATTGGAGGAGAGAGGAGGAGAAAGCTGCCGAGGAGAAGGCTGTGAGAAGTGCGCAGGTCAGGAGTCAGGAGACATACCCAGTGCTTCAATATTAATGAGTAATGAGGACATTCATCTTTGGAAAGATCCCTACGTTCCCCACAAAAGGCTTTGGAATGCCCACATCAGCTTTAATGCCCATTTGGGATTTTCCTTTGGGTGATTTCTCTGGCACCCTTCCCGCAACTGCCACGTTTACGTTTGAGGGAGGAAGGGAAGCCCCCGGGCAATCCCACCTTGCAGAACGCTTCTGGACATCCTGGGACCCCTTTCCACGCAGGTTCTAAGAATCTTTGGCGAAAGTCCATCCACCAGGCGTGGCAAGCGGAGCTGCGGGCGGCGGCGGAAAATCTGCGGCGGGCAGAACAGGAGGCGGGGGGAGGCGGGGGGGGGGGAACGCCAACTTGGGAAGGCGACTCTCATACGGAATCCGAGACATGTCTCCCGGAATGTGAACTTTTTGGATGGCTTTTCAATGGAATCTGAAAGGAGTCCGCGAATGCGGCTTCAGGAGGCCTTCCTTGTTGCGACCCAAGTCAGATGTGAACAATGTTGTGGGCAGGGAATGGCGATGCCCGTTTCTAATAGCCGTCAGCGTAGGTGTCAAGAGGACGATTTTGAGGATGGTTCAAGGGAAGCTCACAGGTGCGTGGATCAATGCTGTGGCTAGGGAGGCATTGGCCGTATAAGGCGCTTGGCTCAAATTTCTGTGCTGAGTGTTTGGCCCAAAGGCTTTGAGTGAATCGTAGTCAGTCCTTCAGTTTCTCGTGATCTCTGAGTGAAGCAGACCTGAACACCCCCCGGATTGTTCAGGTGTGTGGGGCTGGCAAGGGTTGCCGGAAACAGAGATGGGCTTCGGGCACGGCAGCAAGATCAGAAGCTTCTTGTACTCCCTCAAGCAACTTAATCAGGCTTTTGGAATCAGATTGTGCGCGATGCTCTGGTCTTGAAACATGCTTTCTGCAGCTACATTTCATGAAATGGGGGTTTCTTCTGACGGTCCGAGCTGAGGAAGCTCGGTGCGTCTGAACCAATAGGGTTGTTTCAAATCGCCAACCAAGGCAAACAAGTACACACAGCGGGGGGGGGGATGTCTCAATTTCCTCCCTTTTTGGTTGCGGTGTGCGTGTCTTTTTGTTGTTAAAGGCGCAACCAGAGGGTGTGTCTGTTTGGATTCCCTGTTTGGAGCCAACCAAAGTGGAACGCGCCAGCATGGTGAAAGCACTCTCGGGAGGGTTGCTAGTACCGTCTGGGCCCGGAGTCCAATTCGGCTCTCGGCTGTTTCAAACCCGGCCACTTGCGACTTGCTTCGAGGAATGAGTTGAAATGGACGGGTCCCGAACCGAGCCGTCTGTGGTGCGCCATCCCAAACGTCTCGTTCCCCAAAAAAGACAGCCTGCCGAGAACCGGTAAGACTGATTTTCCGCATATTGGGGGTTGATCAAAATTATGTTTGGCCTCCAAATGACCCAATGGGTAATTTTTCCCATGTGGGAAAGAACAAAACATGTGTTTTTCCAGAGGTTTCCAAACAATGGTGTCATCCCATGTTTTTCCCGGACCTTTGGATCAACCTATGTCCGCCTGAGATCCTGAGCCTGCCAGGCAGAAAAGGAGCTGAGTGGGGCTCAAAGAGGTGGAGGCCAGGACGACAACTGGGTTTGATCCCCCCTGGAAATGGGGGCGGTTTTCCTTTGGTTTCCCCTCTGTTTTGTAATAGGCGCCACAAAGAAGAAAATCAAAAACACACTGCTTTATTGCCAGACTTCACACTTTGACATTTGGCTCTTAGGGTTCCCTTCAGTTTCTCTGCCAGCAGAAAGCTCGTCTTTTGAGGTCTAAGTCCGGCCAAGTAACGTGCTCTCTTGAAGCATGACCCACAGCTAGGTTCTCATATCCAACTTCCGAAAAGCCATATTCAAACCACTGACCTTTCAACCACTCTTCCGGAGAGCCACCAAAATCCCAGGGAAAATGGCTGGCTTGTGAAAAGAACTGATGGATGAGAAGAATGAGGAATCGGAATCGGCCCCTGCCATGGGAGCTGGGGGGGTGGGGGTTCAAAGCGGAGCCAGTTTTTGGAGCACGCAATGATCAAGGGACCCCCAGACTGGATTCCCATCTCTTGCACCGGACAATACGCGCGCGTAGCATCCGAGAGGAACCCAACTTCAGCTTCAGCCTCATGTTATTCACCCAACCGCGCAAGGCGCCGATCTGAAGGTGGGGGGCTCAGATGCGCTGAGACGAGATCCATTTCGCACCGTCCTGAAATGGGAAGCCGTGGTGGTTGGTATTTACAGGGGAATCATCCCAGGGTGGCTCAATGTGATGCAGGATTTCGTCCATCCACAGTGCAGCCTTTGTGAAAACAGACTTTCAAAAGCAAAGGTTTCGGTCAACATGTCCAGTGTGCCCATTTGGGGTTCGGGACACTGGGGACGAGCTCTAAACATCAACCACACAAACCAGCAAATGAGCCCGAAATTCATTTTCTTGCATGCCCTCGGGAAACTGGTAAGTTCGACCGTGGCTGGGAGCCCCGGGGCAAACCAAGAAAGACAACCACCGGGAACCGCTTGTTGGCGGGGTACGGTTGAGTCCCCAAAGGTCGCAGACTAATACCTTCCATGCGTATGTGGATTTTGCCTCAAAGCGAATCCGCCTCAAACAGGGTATCCTCAAAAAGAGGATACACAATGACACAGCCAAGTCTGTGATTGGGTGGGCGAGTCAAGGTTTCTGTCGGCTCGCCAATGAGTCACCGGTGCAGAGTGGTACAACCGGAGCATGCGGCTGTGATACTCTTGAAGTATGCCTTGGGAGCGTTGCGCTTTGCCCAAATGGTTTCCTATGAAGCTTCTCCGGGATTTGTGTTGGCGACCTGGAGTTGGGGCACGTGTTAGCTGCAGCCTTTGGATTTTGTACCCAGGGTTAGATGCTTTCCAAGCCTCAAGTTATGGGTTCAAGTCCCATCATCTCCGTTCACTTTTAGCTGAGCGGCGACTTGTTATGGTACCTCGAAAAGGTGGCACCAGGCACAGGCATCCAAGGGGCGGTGATCGCCCATTCAGTGTGAATCTTTGTCTTCCGGTCCCATGCTGAAGGTGAAGAGCGCCAAAGTGACACGGCCTCATGTGGGTCCAAAAGTGCTTTGAGGCTGCCATCACGCGAGCGTATCACGCTGGTGTACAGCCGCCACGCTTAGCGTATGCTGACTTGATGACCGTGGGTGAGACCCAAGCTGAGTAGGTGCATGATTTACCCACAGGCAAATGGCCATGCAAGCAGTGCTTTGCCAAGTGCTCCGCAGCCGTCGCCGTAACTGCTCATAGCTCATGGCACTCCATGGTAGTACCAGCTTTGGACAGTTTTGGAGAAGAGGAATAGAACTGGGAGCACAATTAGCCATAACAATTTACTTTGTCAAAAGGGACACCAATACCTGCAAAGCTTCCTCAACTTAGGGGCCTCCTGTGGATGGTATTTTTTCATGTTGCCCCAGGGAAAAACCGACGATGATTATTTATGGGAAATTGCAAGCTTTGCACGAACCCGCTCTATGCGCGAACTGCCGGTGGGCTTCGGCCACACAGCAATGGCAAATGCACGGAGCGAGCTTGTGCCTGCAGCAGTCGCTGAAGTCCTGCAAGGTCTGTCGCAGAGCTACGTGCAGTGACGAAGGCTTTCTAGGGTACCAACGGAGCCAATGCCATCCACGTATTCCTAGATCCTAGAAGCCCAGAGCAACACTTGCGCTCCAGCTCTCTGGAAACACCAGGAGCTTCCGTTATGCTGTTTCCAAGTGCAATTGGGGTCAACGTATGATCTTGGACATCAACAGGCGACTGAAACATGTGTGAGCAAAGCAGAAGCGAAACAAGCACAAGCACCACCCAGGGCCCCACTTTGTTGTCGCGTGAGACAGACCCACCCCTTTCTTGTTTGGCAAGCCGGCACGCACATTTCGATGCGAGTTTTGCAGGAGTTGTCACTCTAGACGTCATTGATGAAATGGGCTGTTTGCACCTTGGGTGAGTGGTGAGAAACAGCAGACACTGCCGGCCCGCATCTTGCCGGTGCCGCCACAAACGACAATCTACGGCCCTGGATGCCTGGTTCCTGGCTCCTTTGCATGCCATTGAATTCATAGCTACCCTGGAGCTTTGCGCGCGGCACAGTCCTTCCCAGACCGAACAAGTCGCTGTTTCAGGAGCGGGCGTTGTGGCAGAAGGCCTTGGGCTTGCTCTACGGCTCAGGCCCGGGCCAGGGTTGGTTGCTCTCCGGGAAGCCAGCAGTATGCAATTTAAGCAGCGGTACTTGTAGCCATGTTGGGAGCGCCCAGTTGGTGCTTGAAAACGGGTTTGGTGCTACAAACCATGGCAAACAAACAGGCTGTTTAGACTGTTTTTGGTCACGTTGCAACCATGGCTTAAACCCGGGGTCGACTCGCCTCAGGCTCCGACGCAGATGTGGTGTGCTGGGAGCTGGGCGTGGTGGCCTGCGCGCGCGCGGAGCGCACGGATCTGGCGGTGAAGCTGCTGAGGCAGCGCTGGGCGCGCTTCCCCGACTGGGATAGCCCGGGGGCCCGGTGCCTTTTGCGGCCGAACTCGTACGTCCTATGAACCCCTAGTTGATTGGCCTAATTTATTGGCTAAGCGGTTGTTTGGTTGGACGTTGTTTGGTTGTGGGGTTGTTTGGTTTGTTGGTTGCTTGGTTGGTCTGCTTGTTGGTTGGTTGCTGGTTGCTGGTTGCTGTTTGGCTGGCTGTCTGGCTGGCTGGCTGGCTGGCTGGCTTGCTGGGTTGCTGGCTTGCTGGCTTTCTGGGTTGCTTGCTGGCTGGCTTGCTTGCTTGCTTGCCTGCTTGCTCGCTTGCCTATTTTTGGTTGGTTTGGTGGGGATAGCTGGGGAAGCCCGGTGGTTTTAGGAGAACAGCGGAGAGGAACCTGTTTTAAACTTACCTTTTCAAGTTCCAAACTGAACGAGCGGCTTGTTACCAGGTTTTTTCATCATTTTTGGGCCAAACAGTTTTAAGCTCTTTCTAGTCAATGAACACAGGTCAGTTGGCGTGGGTGGCTGACAGACTGCAAGGGGGCATAGGAAGACAGGCGGCGCGCGGGTACAAGCGGATGTTCACCCCAAGCGAAAATGATCAAGCTCCGTCGGTTGAGGAATGCCTTTGCCGCTACAATTATCGGTTCGCCCAATGTGATCCAGAATCCCAAACGTGCCATACCTTTGTAGTTTTGCGTAGTGTCCCCTGGCCTTCCTGGTCCATTCGCTAAGGCAGCGTGGGAGGGTGCGGGGCTGCCATCAGCGCATGCAGCCGCAGTGGGCGCTGGCAGTTGGGTCTGCAGCTGCTGGCAGAGGCGCGGACGCGGCGGCAGCCGCTAGGGGATAGGAGCGAGCGAATCGAGTGCCATGGTCAATCAACTTTTGTTCCGTGGTTGGTATTGACGGACAGACTCTACTTCGAACCAGTTGAAACTTGTGGTTTATCCCTATTTTTCAGAAGTTTCATCCATCCCAACTGGTGTCATCCGTAGGGATGGTCATTAATGTCTTAATAGGGCTGTAGACAACCAATGTAAAGGTTCCTACTATGGGAACTATGACCACGACCCCCAAAAGGAACTGTGACCATGGCATACGTGAGTATTTCTTTGATTGATCCCCTTTTTGCGCTGCTGTATTTTGTCGTGGTCCCGCCATTATTGTTCGTCAAGGTCCAACCAGTTTCAGGCCCAAGTGCCAAACGGTTAGCTTACCCTCCCCAAGGAAGCATACCACCTGAAAAAAGCAGCGCTGGAAGACAATTATCAGCTTAACATGGAACCCAACAAACATCCGATTACCAGGAATCTCTGGTTTTGGGTTCCGTAATAGTTTGCACAGGAGACAGACATCCTGTTTTGGTTTGGTGCCATGTGTGGAGGATGTTTGTGTGGTTCCCTCCTTGTTTTTCCGCCTTCCGTGCATCGTAACGCAGTGGCTTGCTGGTTCTCAGCAGGGAATGCAAGAATGCCCCGGAATGCATCCCTCATGGTTTCCTTGAAGGGATGCATTGGTTCATTGCCCAACCCTTCGAAGGATTCCCCACTGACCAGCAACACAAGCTTACCCCAATTTTCCGCGCATGTCCAGAAATCCCGCATGACATGTTCGCAGCCAGCTCTGTCGACTCCCTACTTAGAACCAGCTCTGTCGATGTTCTGCATCTCCGCTCGATGTTTTTCGCTAGTTTCCAGGACTCCCAGAACTTCCGCGCACCTGTTTTTGCCAACATTCGCCTGAACAAGACCCCACCAAAGGTCATACTTAAGTCATCTACAAAAGGAGTCACACGTAGCGAGACATCCAACGGTCAGGAGCTGCAACGCCGCCATCGGCGCGTGCACGCGGATCGCCGCCTGGAGCCGGGCGCTGGTGCTGCTGGAGGCCTTCCGATCTGGTTGGAAGCGTGGCTCGTTTTCTGGACCGAGTTTTCTGGGGCTGCTTTTAAGGGGTTGGGTTTGAAGGGTTTGAAGGGTTTGAAGGGTTTGAAGGGTTTGAAGGGTTTGAAGGGTTTGAAGGGTTTGAAGGGTTTGAAGGGTTTGAAGGGTTTGAAGGGTTTGAAGGGTTTGAAGGGTGTGAAGGGTTTGAAGGGTTTGAAGGGTTTGAAGGGTTTGAAGGGTTTGAAGGGTTTGAAGGGTTTGAAGGGTTTGAAGGGTTTGAAGGGTTTGAAGGGTTTGAAGGGTTTGAAGGGTTTGAAGGGTTTGAAGGGTTTGAAGGGTTTGAAGGGTTTGAAGGGTTTGAAGGGTTTGAAGGGTTTGAAGGGTTTGAAGGGTTTGAAGGGTTTGAAGGGTTTGAAGGGTTTGAAGGGTTTGAAGGGTTTGAAGGGTTTGAAGGGTTTGAAGGGTTTGAAGGGTTTGAAGGGTTTGAAGGGAAGGGTTTGAAGGGTTTGAAGGGTTTGAAGGGTTTGAAGGGTTTGAAGGGTTTTTGAAGGGTTTGAAGGGTTTGAAGGGTTTGAAGGGTTTGAAGGGTTTGAAGGGTTTGAAGGGTTTGAAGGGTTTGAAGGGTTTGAAGGGTTTGAAGGGTTTGAAGGGTTTGAAGGGTTTGAAGGGTTTGAAGGGTTTGAAGGGTTTGAAGGGTTTGTTTCTATTATTATTATTATTTTTTTTGGGGGGGGGTTGGTTTAGGGGGGTTCGAAGGGTTTGCAGGAGGGTTTGGGATGGGATGGGGGTGGGGGTTGAAGGTTTGCAGGGTTTGAGATGAGGGGGGGGGGCTTGGGGCGTCTTTCAAGTTCCCCTTCGGACTCAGTGGGGGTTTCACTAAGGGGCGGGTGCTATTGTTGAAACACCCTCCTTTCTTGGGGTTCCTTGGAGGGGACCAGGCGTTGTTTCTCACGCATTTCACCCAATGCTGGTGACGCCAACCAGATGCGTTTTTGATTTCTGGCAATTGCAGTGAAACAACTTTGGTGTCTCCTCTGACAATACGTCATATTTGAATGTTGACTCAACATATGGGCCGTGATTCGACCTGACAGGAAGTGCCATGCGCCAACACGGAGGGCTACAACGCGGCCATCGGCGTGCTGAGCGAGGGGCAGCAGTGGCACAAGGCAAATTGGTGGGTGTTCCTTTTGGTTTCCCTTCAAAACCACAAAAAAGGGGGGTACCCTGAAAAAAGCTGAATTGGGGACTACCACATCAAAATACAGGCTTCCCTTGAATTTCCCTGGCAGTTGTAAACTTCAGCTTTGGGACCACTGGAAACGGAGTTTCCTCTACCTGGGGTCATGGGGTGATGCTGAAAGGGGAAAGAGCGGGGACACAGGGGGGAACTGATACGTTTGCACAGACTCATGGAGACATAACAGCGAATTGTCATGCGTGCCATTTGTCAAAGCACCCTTTTGCTTTGGGGAGCGACGAAGATGCAGTTGACAAGGTGAACCGGATCTCCAGATGACCAGACTTGGTTTGGGTAGAAAAATTGTGTAAAAGGGCTTCTCTTGCTTTCCAGGGACCGAGTTTCACGTTTTGACGCTCGGGTCGATGGAGCAGCCGAATTCTGAGAGCAACCAAACAGAAGCCAACCAACTGGGGGTACTCCTCCCCCAAGTGGGCAAAACAACACGCAGCTCCCAATGGCTCCAAGGGCCCTGGCTGGGTCAGGCCTTGTGCATCTTGCACCTGATGCAGCGCCGTGAGAAGGTCGGAGATCGACCCCTCCCCCCACCCCCCGCGGTTTCCGAGTCCTTTGTTGTCGGCGTCCTTTTTTGTTTTGCTGAGAGGGACATTTCCTTTCGGTGGTTGGTGATGTTGGACTTCCAGGTGGCGCTGTGTTTGTTGGGTGGGGAAAGAGGTTTCAAAGGTGTGCGAATTGCGGGCACAACTGAGCAGAGCCTGTTCAACCTCCCAACCACCACGGAAATGCCCAAGCCTTCTGTTGGAAATTCCCCTGAAGGTCCCAGACATCGTCACCTACAGCTCACTGCTGGCGGCTTGCGCGCGTGGGATTGCCTGGCAGCACGCCGGCCGCCTGGCGATGCAGCTGTGTTACCCTCCCCAAAACAAACAATGGGAGCGAGGTCTAATGGAGCTCACATTTTTTTTGGTGGGACCCGAAGAGGATCGAAGAGGAAATTGACCATTCTGGGGTCCCGGCGTCCAATTTTACACACACATTTGAGGCTGGGTCGAAAATACCAGTGGTCCGTGGTTGATTTGGAGGGTCATGGCGGGACGAGCTCTAGATTTCAACCACAAAAGCCAAGGGATGAAGCCTAATTTGCCCATGTCCTCTTGGGGAAACAAGTATTTTTGACCGTGGCTCCTATGTTGCCTCACACAAAGACAGTTGCGGAAGTCACTGCTGAGGTCGATTCACAGCACCATGAGCTGTTGCCTCTTTGCGTCGTTTTCATCACAAAGGTCTTTTGGCACCAATGCCAAGTGAACTATGGCCGTTGCTAGAGAAAAATGGTCAAAAACATGTCCGAACCAGGAACTGCTTGCTTTTAGGAGGAAAGCTTCGAGCGTGGGTTGTTTCATTTCTTGGTTGGATCTTTAGCCTTGAACGTTTCGATAAAATTATTATTTCTTGACTAACCTGCAAGAAGTGCAACTTGTTGGGCAGGGGGGAGCCATCAAGATCTGCCCCCCAGGTCTCCTACTGGGTGCGATGCATGTGCGGCCCAACATCCTCAGCGCCTGCTCGGTGCTCTCAGCCTATGCACGCCGGCGAAAATGGCAAGACGCGCTGAGGCTCTTTGCCGAGCTGCCGGAGGCAGGGGAAGGTTCGACCTTGCCATGGGCTGGAAAAGGCCTACCGCCCGAACAAAGATCCACGGCTATAGGGTCCAATATTGGAACCCTCTCTCTTTGAACGCTCTTCACTTCGGAGGTAGCTCTGAGCTCCACAGCCAATCGGTTTGGGGGTATTTCATGCGTACACAATACGAGGACAGATTCATGCATACATCGATGTGAGAATGCAGCAAGGCTTCTGGAAGTGCGCGACACAGCATGAGCACATGCCTGATAGAATGCATCAAAAGACAAATTGCTTTGCGCAGCGAGCTTGCGCTTTCCGAGCTGTCAAGAGCTCCGGCACCGGATGATTAAAGGAGCATGAAAGAGCTAAGAGGTAGGCAAGCAGCAGGCACGCAGGCAGGCAGGCACGCAGGCACGCAGGCACGCAGGCAGGCAGGCAGGCAGGCAGAGGCTAGTGTATGAATTTTAATGGGGACCTCAAATCCCCACCTAAACCATGTCCACTGGAGGGGGCCCCTGTTCAAGTTCATAGGGGTGTGTCTTAAGCTGCAACAGGGACCCGTCTTCAGGGCTGTTTCCTTAAAAGTTCCCCTAAAACCCACAAAAGCATACCAACTCAAACAATGCCCCATATCCAAAAGGGCAACCCCTTTCAGGGTTGGTTGTAAGCAGGAAACCAAGTGGACAACTACGAATTCTTGGGGTCCCCTGTGACACATCCCCATCTCGTCACTTCAATGCACCTCTTTCGCAGGCGCCCAACGCGGTGGCCTACACCGTGGCCTTCCAAAACGCGCCGTACGACTCCGCGAACAGCCTGGCGCGAGAGATGCAGCGCCAGCTCTGCCGCCAGGATGTGCTCAGCTGCTTGGAAGGGGGGGGGATGGGGGGGCGGCCTCGGTCCTGAAAGCTGGGTGGCGTTTTTTCTTTTTTTTTTTTTATTTTTCCGTTTTTGTTGAGCCATCCGGAAAGACGAGCAATATTTTTTTTGGGCGTGCTTCGATGTGAGGGCACCCTTTGCAGGTTGGTTCAAAGGGAAGCCACGAGGAAACACAACGTTTGCCTTCTACCGGTGGTCGGCAGGGATGGTCATCAATCTTTGCAATAGGGGGTCAGACAACCAGGATCTGATTAAAGGAGCCACATATCCATGACCTGGTGAGGTTCGGTGAACATGTCCGGATTTGTCTATGGCCAGTTGGGGTCCCAATCGAGGCCGCCAGAAGGTTTCTACTGTTGCCCCTTGCCGTTTCCACCAAGGTGGTGAACGTGTGGGTGTGAACGGTGCTCTAAGGGTAGGTGGCACCCTACCCTTTGAGTGCACACAAATAAAAAACCCGCAGCTTCCAGCTTCTAGTTCGTGAGCCAGTTTGAGGGACCAAAGGTTCCCCATGGGAAGTTTCGAGCTTCGAGGTTTCTGAACGGACATGCACGGCCTGGAGGTTTACATGCCGTTTGGATGGGCGGAGGGCTGCGCTCGTAGCAGCCGTAGCAAGGCTTTTTTGCGAGTCCGTGCAAAAGCTTTTCTTCAGGCCCCTTTTCGACTCCGACTTGCGCGAAGATTCAAAGGGGACAGGGGGAAAGCATACTGCCAGGCGGGCCGCGTGGGATGGTTCTGGCTATCGGCCAACCCGAGTGCAAGCGTTGACTATGGGAAATAGAATGCTTGGAGATTGTCCGTTGGGCCAACCTTTTCGCGATGGGCTCCACTTTTTGACAAGATGTGTCTAGCAGCCACACCTATAAATCCGCCCTTTTGAATTTAGTACCATAGGTTTTGGGTCGACTCATTTGCTAGGCTTTGACTGAACGGGGCGGGGGGCTTTCACAGAAGGAACTTTGGAGCATGTTCCCCGGCCGAGCCTTTGGGCTGGTCGCGCGACTTGTTGAAGCAACCAGCCCTTAGCCCTTAATCCCATTTGCGGTGCAAACCCGACGGCCCCTGGGTAGAAGTCTGCATCAGTTTTTGCTCGGCTTTATTCCAGGAGAGCAAAGAACATCAACAAACACCCGGCCTTGGTTTTGACACACAACCGATTTATGTTCCGACTCAAAAGCTAAGAAAGGGAAGCCTCAAATCTCCACCAGCCTTCAAAGCAACTTGTACGGCTACCGGCCAATTTTCGTGGGCCAAGCTTAAAAGCAAGCCTGCGAACCAACCTTGAAAGGGCTCAAAAAGCACACCCCGGGTTTGCTCGAGCTCGCTGAGGCTTCACCTCGGCCCAGCAGGCCTGCGACTTCCGGGAGCTGCCGGTGGCGGAGCGCCAGTTCCGGCGGGAGGCTGGTCCCCAGACGTGGCAGTTTCGGTGGCGTCTGTCAAAGATGGGTTGGTACTTGGGGCTTCGATTCGGGAACCGTTTGGGTATAACCCACTTATTTTTGTCCCAAGTAGGGTTAGCCTTGTTACAAGGGGAGTTCGTTATGCTACCGTGGATGGACGAAATCCGTTCGCATCACTTGAAGCCACGGTTGAAACCATATGGTTGTTGTTATTTACAGGGTAGTCATCAGAAACCAGGGTTTCTTCAGTGGTGCGAAATGGACTTCGCCCATCCACAGATTGTCAAATATGGGTTGGTAATGATGGTCATGGGGTTGAGGGAATGCAAGACTTGTTTAAACCGCCAGGGTTGGACCGTATGTTCCTTTAAAAGACCTGCTTCGAAACCATGGTGAGAATTCCGAGTAAAGGAGCCACGACCATGACCCTATACAGGGAGTTTTGACCATGGCACATTAACACGGGTCTGGTTGTTTTTGAGGTTAGGGAAGCCAAAAGGAAAGCCACCATGTGTTTGGCCCCGCTAGCTTCATTTATGCCACGTAATTTTCGGCCATACCTCTAAACCGAATGTTTGCTTTGTCACAAACAAGATGCCACCTGGCTTCCACCTAAAGCGCTGGGAAATGGCTACCCTTCAACGGCCTTAGGTGTGCGTCCATGTTTTTTTTTTTTTTTTTTTTTTTTTTTTTTTTTTTTTTTTTTTTTTTTTTTTTTTTTTTTTTTTTTTTTTTTCGGATGGGCTTTGCAGGGCGAAGCACTGTTTTTGTGGGTTTCCCGATTCGTTGGTGGAATCACCACAGCCTTTTGGGGCCCCTTTGGAAAAAAAGGAGGGCGGTTCACGGTTGCACGGAAGGAAGCACAAATGGATCGTTGGAACTTTGAAGTTTGGATTATATCCTCTCCTTAAAGTTGTATGACAGAGGGGGGGAGGGCGGGTTGTTAGTTCAGGAGAGGGTAGGTTTGGACCATGGTGTGGAGCAAGCAAGGCAAATCGCCCAGACCTTGAGGTCTTTGGGCCCACTTCGCGCGTGATGGGGCGCAGGGAGCGGAGGCTGCCGCTGGCGAAGCCGGACTTGGGGCCCTTTACGCGGGACATAGCGGAGCTCTGCGGAGCGGCGGGGAAAAAGTGGCGATGGATCGAGAAGGTGGATGGAGAAGGAAGAAAGAAAAAAGGAGATCAGGTGGAAGGGGGGTTAGCTATGAACCAAAGGGTCTGCAGGAGATGGCAAGTGGCGGCCAGAAAAGAGGAGAAGGGGGGTGAAGGGTATCAAGGGCATAGCGACCGCAGGAGGGGGCTGGATGAAGATTCCTTGCTTGGGGGTCCCGTACTTATGGCAAATGAAGTAATTATAGCCAAAGCTTCCCTTTCCCAGCCCTCTTCTAAGAGGTTCTCAAACCCTGAGACGGTACTTAACGGGAAACGCGAGGACATCCTGCCATTTCGCGGGTCCAACGGTCCAACCCCCAATTAAACTCCAGATCCCTTGACCCGACTCCTGCCAGGTAGACGTGAAGCAGCTTATCAGCGCGTCCCACACTCGGCCACCGGTTTTCCGGTCACCCCGGAAGGTTCCTTGGGGGGTTCTCGAAATCGGGGTCCCCCAAAATGGGTGCCTTTTGGTTTCCCTGTAAATACCTCCCAAAAGAAGGTCTACCTTTTGAGAAAGTTTCTCTTGGGGAAAGCAATGCCACTCACGAGGTCGTTTGTGGATGGACAGAATCCGCTTCGCATTAGGTGGATGCAACCCTGCTAGAATCAGCCAGCTATCCATGCACAGCATGCCCGATTGGGCACAGGAAGAGTCTGTTCAAGCCATGGTTGTGAAAGACATGGTCTTGGGACCAATGTTTGTGATAAGGGACCCCCCTTTGACGCGATAAAGTGGAGGGGATAGCCAACTTTGGTATCACAGAGAGCTGTCCAGGAGGTACCAGCTCCGTTTTGACTAGCCCAAGGCGCCAGAAGCTCTTGCGGGCCTCCGGGGTGACACCCCCACCTGCCATAGCTCGGCTGGAAGCCCAGTGGGGCATAAACATTTGCTCAAGCTTCGCATTTGACATTGAGTCGGCTCTGGTATCGCTAGGGGAGCGGAGACACGATCCCTGGCGAAGGACATGCTCCAGGCAATGAAGGCCCGGGCCGAGCTTTCTGCAAGCCTGTCAGCTCTCAACCTGAACTCTCAGGGCTGTGTAACCTGTCCATGAAAGCCTTCTATGGTTGATTCCCTATTGAAAGGGAACAAGGGAAACCGATACTGGCACTTCAGGCATGGTTGGTGGTTTATTTTGCTGGCTGGCGTTCCCAGAGAAGGAGAGCATGGATGGGCCTTTTTTCCCGTAACCCCCTCGGCACAATTTGGTCCACCGTATCTTCTCCCACCAGCCTTGCAGGGAATTGGGCTTGGTGCCCACTTCTGTGATGCACAATCTTTCCCTGGACAGCAAAAGCAGCGAGCCAGATTGCTAGATGTGTTCAGAGCCCTTCTAAACACCTCCTAAGGTTCTAAAAGGGCCTTTCCTGTGGGGGACCAAGGAGTGTGCCCAAAACCGGCCACCCACTACGGACATCCAAAACGGAAAGGACCTTTTCCTCACGGCTCCCTCCCGTAGCCGCAGGCCAGGGACGTGGAGAAGCTGCGCGCCACGCTGGACGCGGCGGCGGCCGCGGACTTGCAGCTGCAGGGCCTCGAGGCGGACAGAAGAGGGTGACCCACCCGCCCACCGCTGGGTTCTAAGGAAATTAACAAGGCATAATGTATATATATATAATATATCTATAATTTATATATATTTATATAACATGTATAGGTATATCGTAGGCAGATTACATGGTATGTACCTCTTAAGCAAAAGTTGTGTACTCCATACTTTCCCTTTGCGGTTTGGACCTGCTTGATTCATAGGGAGGTTGTCCCCTGAAAGTGTACCTTTTGTATAGTGTCCAGTGGTTGGATACCATGGGGGTAGTGGTTGGCGACAGTGGAACCCCTCTTGGACAAAAGGAACACCGGCGAAACCGGCGGAGGGGTTGTCCAAGCTCCTCTGTGCATTTTGGGCTGAACGCGTGGACCTTTTGTTCCCATCTCCGGATTTCCTTCTATGTGACGACACAGGTTGAGACATGTTGATTGCGCTCCACGAAGAAGCAGCTGGAGCAGATCAAAAGGTTGGTTAGTTGGGATGCCCACTTTTTGGAAGAACCGCTTTCATGTGGAGATTCCTTTGATCGGGTTACCGCCCCCCTTTCTGCATTCGAGCATCTGCCGCGGTTCGCCATGCGCATCTCCAGGCCATCCGCCGAAAGCTTGCGACATGGAAGCCGGACAAGAGGCGTGGGGAGAATCGGAGAGTTGAGCTGCGGAGGTTCAAAGTGACGCCTTTGGCCCCGCCCTCCTCGTGTTTCCTGCCCCAGGGAGCCCCAGACCCGGCTGCGCATCATCCTGCCGGACGGCAGGACTGAGGCTGTGGATTTGAAAGGGGTGTCTTGAAACGGGGATGTCGGTTTTCGGACAGAGTTTCAATCAGGGAGCCAAAGGGAACTCAACAAAAACGGGGAGGGCCCTTTTTGAGAGGGTTTTTTGAATGGGAAAGTCGGAAAGCACCCGCAGATTTCTGGGGGTCGCCATGTTTTTGATGTTGGGCTCCTTTGAGTCGGGCAAAGGTTTGATATATGGACATCACGATCAAGTGATGCTAATTATTGATTGGCTAAAACGATTCACATGGCAAAAGGCAAAACATGACACTGCACAGTCGCCGCCGCGAACGGCGTATTTGTTTTTCTTTGACTTTGTGAAAGCTTCCGGGGCCGGCGCCACGCGATTGAGCCTGTTCTCTGAGTATTGCACTTAAGTAATGCCTCCTGCTTCATAAAGCCCTCCACTCAAATAGTAGCTGAATGGAGATTCCATGACATTCCTCTCTTTTCGGAAGACCGGTACCTGTGCTGAAACAGCAGGTGCTTCATCAATCAGGTGTCATACGGGCATGTTGGGCCCGGCTTGCTCTGTGAGGCAATCCTCCGACCTTTTCTGGCAGTTCTTTGAGCATCGAACCGCAGAAACCACAAAATTGGCAATGTCAGCGGTTGCCTTTGTCTTTCCTTGGGGCCAATTTCGTACCCTATGTCCGCGCCGAGTGGCGAGGAGTTTCTTCCAGAAGGGGGATGTAACTCAACGACCAGGAAAAAAGGGGCTAAAGGACCGCATACTTCATTACTTATGGTGATGACTTAATTTGATTTTAAAGTGCTCCACCAGCCCGTTCCATTCATTTTGGCCGTCACCCCCTTTTCAGGCCCTGCATTGTGTGAAGTGCCCTGAGGAGGGGCTGGCTGCCTGTTGAGCCCGAGTGGCTGGGCAGCGCTGTGCTGTCCTGCGTGCAGGACGGGATGGACCTGGATTTGCCCCCAAAAACACATGCAGTTTTTGCTGGAATCCTTCATCTGAAACTCTTCCTTTGTAGATTATGGTGAAGTCCACAAAAATAAATCCATTTTTAGAGGAGTGTGCTTGTGAGGTACGAGCCTGGGTCCCGAGTTAGTTTACAGCGGAGTAAATCCTAAATTTTACTCGCTTTTGAAGAATACTGCATTGTTGGAAAGAGCGTAACCCCCTGAGACCCTTGTTTACACCGTTGGAAGTGGGCTGCATGTGAGGTTCCAATATTGCGCCTCCTTGAATAATCGGGCTCTCTTCAGTAGCAAGTGCTAGAACCCTGTGACTGTTTCGGGGTTCGGTTTAATAGATAGTTTTCCCTGAAACAAACCATCAAATAGGGGCAACACAAACAAACGTAACGGATCCAAGCCTCAGCCTTTTGCTTCCACAGGGTGGTTTATCCAAGCCCTTCCCGCTAATTACAGGCCTCAGATCTCACGGATTCCTGTTTCTGAAGTGGCCCACAATCCATCGTTTTTTTCTCAGGTAGCTCAAAGCTATAGGGGTTCTAACCGCAATAAAGACGGGAAAGTGATTTGCGAGATTGACGGCTGGGTGCCAGGGGGCATGCAGTTTGGGTTGCTGGTGCAGGTGCTGTTTTGGGTTGCTGCTTCTGGTGCTGTCTGAGGTGCCGGTGACGGTGCGGGCGCATTTTTGCAAGACTGGCGGGTGCTGATTCCGGGGCATGCAGTTTGGCAGGTGCTGCTTTGGGGTGCTGTTTGGGGTGGTGCTGGTGACGCTGTGGGTGCATTGTTGCGGGATTGACGGCCGCGTGCTCGGGGTGCTGCTTGGGGTGCGGATGCTGGGGACGGCACAGGCACGCTTTTGCGATTGATGGCAGGGCTAGAGGGCATGCAGTATGGGGTGCTGGTGCAGGTGCAGTTTTTCGCTATTTGGGGTCTATGCTGGTGTATTTTTTGGCAGATCCCTTGTATTAAACAACAGCAATACCAACCAGTCACCCAAATAGGGAACCCCACAAGAGATCCTGATGCTTGTTAATCTGACTGTTTTGCAGCCCGCTTTAGCATCAAGCTGTTTTCGGCCTTTTACTTTTTAGAAGGGTGGCTCGTCTGAGATCTGGCAATACAAAATGCAGAATTGGCAGTACTGAGACTAAGTCATGGCAACACTAGGCTTAGAATTGGCAGTCTAAATCAATACTGGGAATCTGAGAGTAAGTGTTGGCAATGCCAATCTAAATTGGAGATTCTGATTTAAGTACGAGGAAGCTGAGATCAAGTCTTGGAAATACTAGCAATACACATGTTGCATTGACAGTATTTCTTTGAGTACGAGGAATGTGATCTAGTCTTGGCAATATGACTAAAGTTAGAATTGGCAACACCCAGTTAAGTATTGGCAAGTCCAAGTCCAACCAAGATCCGCCCCATTTTCCACAAAGGAGGCTCCAACTGACCGTTGGCACTGTTCAGTCAGGGGGGTGGTCATATTGAAGGAGACACAATATTACATAGCCGTGCCTGAATGAGGGAGCTTGTTATGGTGTCGGGGTCCTTTTGCCAGCTCGAGTGAAGTGATGAGTCTTTGGCGCTCCGACACTTTTCTCATGACTGAGGCACCCTCTTGAATCACCTTCGGGGTGAACCGGTGGTTCAGAGGGCTGATTCCACAGCCAGTGAAACATCGCCATTGGACTGATCACCAGGCAGAGCCAGCTTGCTTTGCAGTTGTTGCATGTCTTGTTTCATAGATTCGCACTTGTGGAGTCGGTGACACTTGCGACATACCTTGCACGCGTGGCGTTGTTGGCACTGTTGGCGTTGGCAAGCCTCAGTTGCTCACGGCATGTGGAGTTCTAAAGAGCCGTGCCTGAATGAGGGAGCTTGTTATGGTGTCGGTTCGCTGTTGCCGGCTGGAGTGAAGTGATGAGTCTTTGGCGCTCCGACACTTTTCTCATGACTGAGGCACCCTCTTGAATCACCTTCGGGGTGAACCGGTGGTTCAGAGGGCTGATTCCACAGCCAGTGAAACATCGCCATTGGACTGATCACCAGGCAGATCCAGCTTGCCTTGCAGGTGTTGCATGCCTTGTTTCATTGATTCGCACTTGCGGAGTCGGTGACACTTGCGACATACCTTGCACGCGTGGCGTTGTTGGCGCTGTTGGCGTTGGCAAGCCTCAGTTGCTCACTGCATGTAAAGTTCTAAAGAACAGTGTTTTAATGAGGGAGCTTGTTATGGTGTCGGTTCGCTGTTGCCGGCTGGAGTGAAGTGATGAGTCTTTGGCGCTCCGACACTTTTCTCATGACTGAGGCACCCTCTTGAATCACCTTCGGGGTGAACCGGTGGTTCAGAGGGCTGATTCCACAGCCAGTGAAACATCGCCATTGGACTGATCACCAAGCAGAGCCAGCTTGCCTTGCAGTTGTTGCATGTCTTGTTTCATTGATTCGCACTTGCGGAGTCGGTGACACTTGCGACATACCTTGCACGCGTGGCGTTGTTAGCACTGTTGGCGTTGACAAACCTCAGTATGTGGAGTTCTAAAGAAGGGAGCTTGTTATGGTGTCGGTTCGCTGTTGCCGGCTGGAGTGAAGTGATGAGTCTTTGGCGCTCCGACACTTTTCTCATGACTGAGGCACCCTCTTGAATCACCTTCGGGGTGAACCGGTGGTTCAGAGGGCTGATTCCACAGCCAGTGAAACATCGCCATTGGACTGATCACCAGGCAGAGCCAGCTTGCTTTGCAGTTGTTGCATGTCTTGTTTCATAGATTCGCACTTGCGGAGTCGGTGACACTTGCGATATTCCTTGTACGCGTGGCGTTGTTGGCGCTGTTGGCGTTGGCAAGCCTCAGTTGCTCACTGCATGTGGAGTTCTAAAGAGCTGTGCCTGAATGAGGGAGCTTGTTTTGGTGTCGGTTCGCTGTTGCCCGCTGGAGTGCAGTGATGAGTCTTTGGCGCTCCGACCTTTTCTCATGACTGAGGCACCCTCTTGAATCACCTTCGGGGTGAACCGGTGGTTCAGAGGGCTGATTCCACAGCCAGTGAAACATCGCCATTGGACTGATCACCAGGCAGAGCCAGCTTGCCTTGCAGTTGTTGCATGTCTTGTTTCATTGATTCGCACTTGCGGAGTCGGTGACACTTGAGATATTCCTTGCACGCGTGGCGTTGTTGGCGCTGTTGGCGTTGGCAAGCCTCAGTTGCTCACGGCATGTGGAGTTCTAAAGAGCCGTGCCTGAATGAGGGAGCTTGTTATGGTGTCGGTTCGCTGTTGCCGGCTGGAGTGAAGTGATGAGTCTTTGGCGCTCCGACACTTTTCTCATGACTGAGGCACCCTCTTGAATCACCTTCGGGGTGAACCGGTGGTTCAGAGGGCTGATTCCACAGCCAGTGAAACATCGCCATTGGACTGATCACCAGGCAGAGCCAGCTTGCCTTGCAGGTGTTGCATGTCTTGTTTCATTGATTCGCATTTGCGGAGTCGGTGACACTTGCGATATTCCTTGCACGCGTGGCGTTGTTGGCGCTGTTGGCGTTGGCAAGCCTCAGTTGCTCACTGCATGTGGAGTTCTAAAGAGCCGTGCCTGAATGAGGGAGCTTGTTATGGTGTCGGTTCGCTGTTGCCGGCTGGAGTGAAGTGATGAGTCTTTGGCGCTCCGACACTTTTCTCATGACTGAGGCACCCTCTTGAATCACCTTCGGGGTGAACCGGTGGTTCAGAGGGCTGATTCCACAGCCAGTGAAACATCGCCATTGGACTGATCACCAGGCAGAGCCAGCTTGCCTTGCAGGTGTTGCATGTCTTGTTTCATAGATTCGCACTTGCGGAGTCGGTGACACTTGCGATATTCCTTGCACGCGTGGCGTTGTTGGCGCTGTTGGCGTTGGCAAGCCTCAGTTGCTCACTGCATGTGAAGTTTTAAAGAGCCGTGCCTGAATGAGTGAGCTTGTTATGGTGTCGGTTCGCTGTTGCCGGCTGGAGTGAAGTGATGAGTCTTTGGCGCTCCGACACTTTTCTCATGACTGAGGCACCCTCTTGAATCACCTTCGGG